GGGGGGGGGGGGTGTGTCAGTCCCTGTCACAGTAGTGCCTTAACAGTAGCACAGAGGCTCTCCCCATGCAATCTGCCTGCCACTTCAGGTGTCAGACAGAGTTTGTGTCACTCGGCAGGGCTCACCCCATATCACTAGCTAGGACTGGGATGAAGAGTGGGTTTAAAACAACCCAACTTGCTGTGGGAGGGGGGGAAGCCCTGGAGCCCAGGGGACATACAGATTTGCCCTATGCCTGCTTTGGGGCCTCCTCTTGGAGCATCCCTGGGGGAGGATCAGGCTGACACCACGGCACGAGGCTGAGCATCCTCCCTGACTGGCATGTCCCTGTTCCTGCATCTTCAGTGTGTGATGAGGGACAAAGGTTGAAGCACTCTGAGAGCATTCGGGGCAGCCACGGGGACACGAGGGGGGTTTCCCTCACACCCCCTGCATCCCCCCTCCTAGCCCTGGGCACACCAGCACCCTGGCAGGTGGGTCTGGAGGCAGTTGGCATCGCCCCAGGGCTCAGAGAAGGGCTAGGTGAAAGCATTTGGCTGTGGGTGGGGTTTCTCCAGAGTGGTGAAGCTGAGAGCATCATGATTCCTGTCCAGCCACTTGGGACCCCAAGGTTGGGTTTTGGGTGCTCTCCTGCAAACTCCGGGATGGTGGATTTGCTCCACAGTGCCAGGGAAACTGTGGAGCTGTCCCTTAGCAAGCCCTTTTTGCCAGGGGACCTGCTGCCCACTCACCAATAGCCCCTCAGGTGGTTTTTGGGTGTTCCCCACTCTTAACCCTCTGGGAAACTGCTCGCTGAGCACAGCCAGCAAAGCAGGGAGCAGCAGGGGCGGCCCTGGGTGAGAGCATCGGCCTCCAAAGGCAGCAAGGAAACCCACTCCAACCACCTGGGCAGGCACCGTGCCCCCTGCTGCTCCCTCGGCACCTTAAAAACCTAGAGATGGCAGGGTGTGGGGGGGAAGGCAGCCTGTGCCACGTTTCAGCATCTCTGTGGCATGCTCATGGACCAAAAGTGATCCTAACACTAGTGAAGGAAAGGAAGACTGATCAAAGCTGAGTGGTATTTTTTTCTTTTTTTTTAAATCTTTCCTTAAGTGCAAACACCATCTGGCTCCCGCAACTCTGTTAGCGCTTCCAGTCCCCAGGCAGCTTTGCTCTTCCTAATTACTGTCATTAGACAGTGGGTAGTGATTAGGGAGGGATGCTGATGAGTGGCATCAGGAAGGCTGTGGGTCCCCTGACAGCCTCACACAGGGAGCTGGGTGGCCTCTTGTCTCCAGCCCAGGGCCTTTTCCAGGTGGGGATCTTGATGGGTAGCACAGTACTTTCTTTTTTGGTAGAGGCTGACTGGGAGGGGATGGGGAAGGGAGGTGCTGGCTGGCAGGACCAAGTCCTGGGGAGTCCCCAGGGAGGCCTGACACCACTGGAGATGGGCTGCTCCAGGGAGCAGGGCGATGGTAGAGTACTCAGTAGTGCTGGAGAAAGAGCAGCAGCTCGCTGAATTCTGCTTGGCCTTTGGTTGTCTCACCACTCCATGACTGCTCTGCCCACAGGTGTCCAGTGACCAATGATCATTTCTCCTGAGCAGCCCAGAGGCTGTGATGATGGGCTCCACAACCAGATCCACCAGCAGCTGTTTCTCCCAGGCAGCCCAGGGGCCATGGCGATGGGCTCTGTGGCTAGATGGAGTCAAATCCAGCTGTCACCAGAGCTGTCTGGCCAAAGCGGTGCTGACCATCAGCCTGCCTTGCCTTCCCTGGCTCTCCTTGCTCCATTTGGACATTCACCCTTGCATGCAGCTCCACTGCAGTGCTGCACCATGCAGGCCAGCGTGCAGTGTCAGTGCCACCTTGTGGCAGGTGCCCTGGGCCTGCTGACCTCTCATTGTCACCCACGGCCTCCCACAGGTGTCCCCTGGAGCTTGCAGCAACTCCCACGCATCCCTCTGCAGTGGCTGGTGCTGGGAAACAAGTCGTGGGGGAAACTCCTGTAGGGTGGGACGAGGTCCCTGCCTTGCAAGAAGGTGATGGGGGGGGCCATACAGCTCTGATCTTCTTGCAGCAAGTGGGGAGACTGGAGGGTCTACCCAGAGACAGGCAGTCCCTGTTGGATGTTGGCCATTGGAGCGCTGCTTCATGCATGAGATAAAATGGTGCCCACCTTACCCTGCCTGCTGTTGAGGTCCAACACCCACAGAAAGCCCGTGGAGGGGCAAGATGGGTCTGTGAGGGTGCATTGGGATGAAGTAGTTGGGCCATGAGTAAACTGTTAGGAGATTAACCTGGTGGGTGAACCAGCAATGAGGGGGGAGAGAGTCAAAACTGAGGGGAGAAAGGCTCAGGGGGAAGACTGGTGGAAGAAAGCCAAGCACTTCGGAGGCTGGGGAGCCTGTGGGACTGAGGAGGGTTGGCAGGCATGACCAGAGGCTGCAGAAAACGACGTTCAGCCAGCGTACCCCCTGTGCCTCCCCCCCCCGTGCCACAATGCTCTGTTGGACAGCTGGATCCTGTGTTTAGGACCAGGGATGAAAACCAGCCCCCATTCCTAGGGACACCAAGGCTTCTGTCCTTTACCACTAGTATTGATCATTGGTGGGACTTGCAGGAGCTCAAATACTCCCATGACCTCCATCATAGGTGGGTCAGTGGGGCTGTAATGGCTAGAGATATGCCTGAGGTGGTTTTGCAGCAAGGAGGGCTTCATCCCCAGCCCAGGGTTTCCTCGGACTTTCCCTTAGCTGTCACCAAACCCTGCACCTCTGTGACCAGGTGAAGCCTGGCCTCGTCAGACTTTCTAAACAGTTGTGCGGGCAGCAGGGCGGGCGTCGGGCTGAGGAGGAAGCACAGCTCCTGCTTCTCAGGGGGAAGTGAGAAACTGCTGTGGAAATTCAAAGACGGGCAACACCCCCCACCCCACCCCCCCAAAACCACTTGCCCTACTCCTTGCTCTGTAAGTCAGCTCCCGGTGTGGTCATGGATGGGATGGAGGTGGCCAAGCAGGTGGCCATGTGCAGGGGACATGCCAGTGAATCCAGTGCAGAGGGAACCTCTCCAGCTCAAGGTCCTGCTGTACCCCTGAAACTGCCATGCTGGAGACCCCTGAAGCCAGGGGAATGGGGACTGAGAAGGCATCTCCCCATACAGACCTCTGAGTGTGCATTGGCAATGGGTTCACTTTATTCTTTAATTTTTACAACCATATTTTTAGTGTCCATTCCCTCTGCTCTCCATGCAGACAAGATGGACAGACCCTGCCCTGTACATAAGGATAGAGAAGCATGTACACAGCAGGTTACAAATCCCTCCCAGGCCCAGGCAGACATCAGGCCAGGCAGGAGGGGAGCACTGGGCAGGCAGGATGCTGGGAAGACACCCTGCATGCCATAAAAGAGAGGAGATCTGAGAGGCACTTGCTAGTGGAGGAATGCAATGTGGATTGAAATGCTGCTTCTGCAAACTGTAGATGCTGGTGGTGTCCCGCAGAGGAGATGCCTGGCTGAAGCTCTAGCAGAAACAAGAACAGAAAGAGGGGCTTTTTCAACACAATTTGTATGGGAGTTTCTTCTTCAAATTGCCACGCTGATCGGCGTGGGTGGCATATCCACAGGGCTGAGCTGCAGTGGTCACCAGGTGGGAAACGGGACATGCTCCAGACAGTCCTGCTCCATTTCCCTCTCTCCCCTGTCTCCCATGAAGTAGGTTGCTCTGGCTCCACAAACATTCCTTCTTCCAGTGCCAAAAAGTGCCCTTCAGCTCATTTCCCCACTCCAGATGCACAAAGGTTGCTCTAAGTCAGTTCAAAAGGCTGGGTGCAGAGCACAGGGATGATGAGATGCCCAATTCATGCCACAGGGATGCTTCCCCTGAGACAGGCAGCATGGCTGCTGCAGACAACTGGAAGCCCAGTGCTCCAGGAGCCTCCACAGCTCCTGCCAGTGAGCCATGGGTGCCTGGAGCCCCAGGAGACAGTTGCTCGGCACATGGACCAGCCCCTCCACTATCCTCAGCCCTGAGGCTGAGACAGGGACCCATCCCATCCTGGGTCATTGCGGAACCTCAGCCCGATGAAGGCTCACCTCCACCAGTGCATTTAGGTCTGGGAGAGGAGTTGTGGTGAGGAATTTGGGTCTTGGCACCTATGGCAGTGCCCATAGTTCCCCTCATGGGATGGATGCTGCTAGTCTGGCTCCAGTGCCAAGGGCAGGGGAGAAGAGGGAGGGTCGCCTTTCAATAGCACCATCTGGTCCTGCAGCCCAAGAAGAGAGTCCAGAATTTGGCAGGGAGTCACCTTCCTGTCATCAGAGGGACATCTCCTCTGCACAGTGCCACCAGGCAGCCCTACCATGAGCTGTGGCCCTCAGTGGCCCATTTGCACTTGGTGGCAGTGCTCCCACACCTTGCTTGACCACCTCTGATCAGTCCTTGAAGCCTCCCAGGTGAGGAATACGCGTCACCAGAGGAAGAGCAGACCCAGGCATCCACTGAGATGGTGCTTCATGCAAATAGCCCCTCCCAAGGCACTTCTAATTGCCTAATCACCCCCTCCAGGGCCAGCAGGGTTTCTCACCCAATCCATTGGCCTGGCTGTATTCAGCCAGGGGGATCAGCTGCTGTAATTACTTGGGAACAGAATGCCTGACCTATCAAGTTGTTTCTGAAGCAGAGCCCTTCCTGCACAGTAAAGCCACTTGCAGGTGGGTGAACAAGACCACCTAAGAAATTCGTTGGACCCACAGCACTGGCCAGCTCTGGCACACAGACAAAGCCTTGAAGACACTCACATAACTTAAGTCATCCCACCTATGCTCACATTGCTCCCTGCGTGCTTTTGCGTGGCATGGAAACATCCATCCCAGGTGACATGTGGTATTTCTGCAGCCACAGTGAGTTGAAATGATGGTTGTTTGGTGCCATAAAGACAAGCTCATGGAGCTCACAGTCCAGCAGTCTCCATTGCCTGCCTCTGGTCCTACCTGGCTTCAGTGATTGTAGGTCAAAGCAAAGGCAGATTTTTTTCTTCCCCTCTTCCCTCCCTTGCTCCCTGCTTGGGAAGATGGACTTGTTTCCAAGCCCCAGGGGATACCCATGAGCACTGGTGGACACCTGCCACCACATGAGAGTGCCCAAAGGGAGGAGAGACCTGGATATTGTGGTGTGCAGAAGACAGAGAGGGCAGGACTGTGAATGGAGCAGAAGCTACTGGATGTGACTTGCTCCATATGGCCCCAACCCTCCTTTTATTGAGGTCAGTAGCAAAAATCAAGCTAATAGCAGCAGATTTGGTCCTAATGTAACTCCCTACTTCCCTCTGCATCTTCCTTTCCCCCACCCTTTCTGCTATTCCAGCCTCATGTTCCCAGGAATTGCCCATCCAGCAGCAGACCCATCCTGGCACAATGGCAGCCTCACAAATGGAACAGCAGCTCCCGCCACACAGTCTGTCCTCACCAGCTGTGTCTTCTCCGCCTCCTCCCAACAGTACGTCCATGGCAGCTGTTGGCAGTTCAGTGTAACTCAGCATGATCCGCTTCAGCTTCCTCTAGCACTTACAGGAGTAACTTGGGACTTAGCACAAACAGGAAAGTGGAAAAGGGCAGTCATCTTAGAAGGCAAAACCCAGTCCTCACACAGCTCCCATCCATGCAAGGCTTTGCCCATGCCAAGGATGGGCTCTGGGCACCCACAGGGAGCAGCTGGAGCACTCCAGCCCCATTCCCCCTGCCCTCAGGCTGTCTCCTCTCCAGTGCATTTCTGCGTGGTTTTGGTGGTGACCAGGGCCGTGGCCCCCAGCTCGGTGGCGGGCAGCGGGAGACCGTGGTTGCACTCCTCATGCTGGGGGTACATAGTGGAGAGCAGGATGATGTCGTCATCGGCATCACCCTGGCAGCATGGCCTCCGCTTTGCCCCGGGTTTCTCAGGTGGCTCCAGCATCTTCAGGCTTCCGTTGAGATGTAGGCACGGAGTTGGGGCCAGGGCAGCATCTCCTTCTGGCACAGCAGGGTCCTGGCAGCCCAGGCTGGGCAGGGGGCTTGTGGCATCCATGTTTGCTGGGAAGAGGTGAGAAAAGGAGGTTACATGGCTCACAAAGTGGGGCCAGGTGGGCCACAGGGAGAGGGTCCCAACCCTGGGCACACACAAAGAGGAAGATGGAGCTGGAGCAGGAGGAGCCAGCAAGGTCCTCACCGCAACTCTCCTGCTGCAGAACTCCTCCTCCTTACAACTGATGGGTTTTTTCCCCTCTAAAAATCAATAGGGAAAGGCAGAAACTTGCACTTGCACTTCAAGTTCTCTCGCTAAACCCTGCTGGCAGCAGAGCAGCCCAGCCCTTGGCGGCTCACCCTCCCTGACCGCCTCCCACTTAAAAATAGACTTGTTTACATGCTTCAAACACAGGCGCGTGCCACCAGCCCCAAGCCTCCTGCAACTTTCCACGCATCCAGCGCTGCAGTGGTGGGCTTGCTGGGGTGCAGCCTGGGGGGACAGGGCAGACAGAGACCAGGGCATATGGCAGGGGAGTAGCCAAGGAGTGCTTCTGATGCTCCCCATCACGGCTGGACCTCTCTTGCCACTGGATTTCTCTCTCCTCTTTCATTTTTGGTATTTTTCCCAGCGTGTGTCACGGGTTGTCTCAGCTGCACTTGGTTTAGCGTAAAGGCCCCAGGTAATGTCCCCCTTGGTCTGAGTCATCCAGCTGGCACCACCAGCAGTGTGCAGGCAAGCCAGGGTGTGAGGACCAGCTGCCTCCAGCCCCGCTGCCTCCTGAGGGCACCCACCTAGGTGGTGAGTTGGTGGTGGGGCAGTGGCTGGTGTCAGCATCCCCCAGGGCAGCCCTTCTTGGGTGTCCTCTGCCCAGGGATGAGGAGGGTGAAGCAAAGCAAGACCATTTCCAAGCAGAGTGGCCAGGATTGAGTCAGCACTGGGGTGGAGGTCCCCACAGGAGGAAACAGTCACCCGGTCCCTGGTTGATGCCCCAGCAAGATGGGCCATCATGGGGCATCATGACCTCATCCTCCTGGAAATATCCCACGAGAAAAGGCTTATACCCATCCCTTGCCCCCAGCCCTTTTTTTTGATGCCTTTGGGGATGACCCTGTGTGGTGCTCCTGGGGCTGGCCCTGACACCGCTGGGGATTTTGGGGCACATGTTGGAGGGTGCTGGGTATCCCAAGTGGGAAAGGTAAGCTGGGTGGTCAACATGGGACCCCCATTTGCATGCTGCAGGGAGAAGCTCCATCTGGAGCCATTCCCAGATCTCCACAGTTGCCTCTGCAGCCCCCACTCCATCCATGGCCCTCCAGTCCCAGAGGGAGTCTCCTCACCAGTGCTCTGTATGTGTTCCTGATGCAGCAGGGACAGTGCCAAAAGGTGCTTTAAGCAAACGAAGGCAAAGATACACCAACCAAAGGGAGGAATGGCTCAGCAGGGTTGTGCTGGCAGTCAGGTGCAGGCATGGGTTCCCAGGGGACATGGGACACTGTCACTCCGGGGGTGGCTCAGCTTCCTCAAAATGCTCCAGGGTGCCCATATTGCCCATGTGGAGGTGGAGGACCTGGCCTTGACAGCAATGTGCCTCAGGGAAGCTGGTGGCAAGTGATCCCATCTGCCATGGGGTCCTCAGGGTGCTTTGACACAGAGAGCAAAAGGTCCCCTACCTTCAGCCTCCTTGTCCACCGCCTTCCTCTTCTTCCTCCTCTTCCCCACTTTGCAGGCCAGGAAGCCCAAGAAGGCAGCCAGAGACAGGATGAGCCCCACCGCTGCAGGGACCCCAAAGATCAGGAGGGTGCTGGGCAGGTCCACTGAGGTGAGGGTGGGTGCCGGGGTAGAGGTGGGCACCATGCGGGCGGGCTCTGCTGTGGGGTGAGATGCCGGCAGTGTCAGGAGGAGGAGAGCTGAGGCAAGGAAAGGAGGGCAGCCTCATTACCCACCTGTCTGTCTGGCCTCAGGACTCCAGTGGTGGGGGAAGAGAGTGGCTCTTCACTGCTACCCACCCACCACCCGAAACGAACTGTCCCCCTGCCTGATGGGACCCTTGTTCCACCCGCTGCTGTTCCTGGCTGGTGGGAGACGAGGGTGTCCTGCTCTTCCCATGGTCACCCCTTGGGCAGGCTGTGACCCCTATGCCAGGCTGTATCATCTCTCTTTGCTCCGCACCGTGTTCCCCTCACTGGAACTGGCTGCTCTCTTCCTCTCTCCTCCTCCAGTGAAGGCAGCACTCCATCCTACAGCCACCTCCATCGCCATCCACAGGAGAAGGTCCCCTCCACCTGCCCACCCCCAGGGTGCCCCCAGCCCCCCT